AAAGTCATCACGAAGATTATGACCATTAGATTGCAACCATGGTTGCCGACTCTGGTAAATGAGCTACAATCTGCTTTCACAGGGGGAAGACAAATCCAAGACAACATTATTATTGTCCATGAAGTGCTCAACCAGTTTAAGAAGAATAAAACGAAGAAAAGTAAAGATATGATGATGAAGCTTGACATGAGGAAGGCCTACGACCTGGTTGAATGGGATTTTCTCATCAACCTCCTCAAGGCCTATGGGTTCAGTGACACCTGGTGCGGATGGGTTCGGGCTTGTATCTCAACAGTGAAGTTCAGGCTCTTGTACAATGGAGCCCCTTCGGCCGAATTCATCCCCTCGCGAGGCATCCGCCAGGGGGATCCCCTGTCCCCCCCCCCCTCCTTTTCATCTTGATGTCAAATGCACTATCTTTCTTGATTGAGAAGGCTACTCAAAGACAGGTCATCAAGGGTATTAAGCTGAACAGAGATTGCCCTGTCCTTACTCACTGCCTCTTCGCGGATGATACCGTTATTTTTGGTAAAGCGTCAGTAAGGGAAGCTGAACACATTTTAAGCATTCTTAATGACTATGGATCGATTACGGGAAATGAGGTCAATAGGAATAAATCCTCCTTGTTCTTCAGCGCAAATGTCCCCTCTGACGAACAGGATCTTATTACCCAAAGCTCTGGATTTGCGGCTGATCAATGCCACTCCAAGTACCTTGGAGTACCCACTGAATGGGGTCGTTCCAAGAAGGAAACCTTCAAATTCCTCCTAAAGAGAATGGAAGCCAGAGGAGAGTCGTGGAAGAGTCTCCTTCTTTCCCCGGGTGGCAAAGAGGTGCTCCTCAAGGCAGTGTTCCAGGCGGTACCATCCTTCATTATGTGCCTCTTCCTGCTCCCACGCTCAATAACGAAGAGGATGGACTCCATGCTTAGGAATTTCTTCTGGAGCGGGAAAATGTCAAAGAAAACCATCCACTGGAGAGCAGGCCACGTTCTGTATGCCCCAAAGGAGGAAGGAGGACTCAGCTTCCGCCAATTCCACACGGTCAATCTTGCATTACTGGCAAAGCAGGCATGGAGAGCTATCGCCAACCCCGACTCCCTGTGGGTGAGGGTCTTGAAGAGCATTTATTTCCCCAAGTCTGACTTCTTATCCGCAAAAAAAGGTGGAAAGGCTTCCTGGATTTGGTCTAGCTTATGGGAGGCTAAGAAATGGATGAAGCAGGGCATCATTAGGGTGATTGGTAATGGTAAGTCGACAAGGATGTTCCAAGATCCATGGAGATTTGATCGACCGGGCCCACTGCTAGAGTTTGACTGGCCTGATGAGTCCACTGTGGACCGTTGGATTGATGGGATCAATCGAGCCTGGAGATTCCACCTCCTTGCAGGTTATCTGAGCCCTTTGGACCTCAAGCAGGTGGCTGCCACCCCCATTGGTCCTGAGTCACTGGAGGACATCTGGGCTTGGAGATTCACGTACAGTGGCGACTTCACTGTGAAATCAGCCTACCACGTCTTCCACAACTTGATCCGATGGGAACAGGTTAACCATTCAGCAAACACTTCCAGCAAAGAAAGATGGAAATGGCTTTGGAACCTTTCCCTGCCTCCCAAACTGAAGTTCTTTGTGTGGAAATGCACTAGAGGGGCCCTGACAACAAAGGAAAATCTCTTCTCCCGAAGCTGTTCTGTGACTAAAGCTTGTCCCATTTGTGCGGAAACTACAGAATCGATCCATCACACCCTTTTCTCTTGCCCTCACGCGGCTGTTGGATGGTTACAGGACTGGCCTTCGCTGGTCGTGCCCCCCTTGTCCATAGGGGTGGCTATACGGTCCGGTCCGGTTAAATTGGCCCGAATGATCCGGTCCAGTCCGGTCTTTTTGAAAATATAGGGACCAAAGCTTGGATTGGGTACAGTCCGGTTTTGACCCGGTCCGGTTTTGACCCAGTCCGGTCTCAATCCAGTTTGACCCATTTTGACCATGTTGCAGAAAATTCAGCAACATATAACCATTTTCCTGGAATATAGACAACCTGTTGTAGCAAAAATCCTAATTAATGACTATGAAAACAAAAGAATCGAAATAACAACGATGAACCATCAAATAAAGTGATTAGTTAATTACTACAACCATTTAAAAAATCTCTGAAATTGCATAGCGTTACCGAGCAATGGACTTGTGGTATATACTAGAAGTTAAGTTATGCGCTTGGATGGCTATATGTTCCTTCCACAAGTGAAGAACAACACAGAGAAACTCTGCATTGACTGCGTTTGGAGTTGGACAACAGTTGCATTTCACAATCGTCACAAAAACCACACCGCAACTAGTCACACACTGATCAGTACTTGAAACAAACTACAAAGCAAAAAACAAACTACAACGCCAGCTGGTTAAGAATAACGATCGAAATCATAATAGCTCATATATATAATTCATACGATCCCAGCCAGGCGGTATACGAAGTCCCTAGCTAATTAAGATCCTGTCTGGTGCAGGAATGCATGTATCACATCTCCGTCCTCCATATTTACCTGGGTGTGTAATCAATGAAGCAAACACTTAAAAACCCCACCACTTTGACGTGTATGAACTTGTGCGTCGGCTCTTGATCCAATGCTAATTATCAGGGCTCTGCAAATCGTCTACTACAGCAAAAACAACAAGGTGAAGAAAGAAGAAGAAGAAGAAAGGACTCCCCCTGCAAATTGACGAGGAGTCGACTGTCGAGGACGATGGATTAGAGGCTGGAGCGGGCGAGCGGCTGCTTCTTTGCAAATTGCAAACCCTAGGGCCTCGGCTGCTGCTTTGACACTTGCTCGGCTGGGCCTGGGAGGGAGGGGAGAATGGGCCTAAGTTGCAGACTTGTAGTGGGTGGGCTTGGCCGGCCTCTGGGCTTATTTTAGTTATCCGGTCTTCCGGTTTTAACACGGTTTTGACCCGGATTGGATTGGTCCGGTTTTTTATATTTCTAAGACCAAGACGGGATTGGATTGTTTTAAATCCGGTCCCGGTCTTAAACGGTCCGGGTTATACGGTCCGGTTTCCGGTTTTTAATACGGTCCCGGTCCAAATAGCCACCCCTACTTGTCCACCCCTATCCTCGATTGGCTCTTCTCACTTCAGACCAGGTATTCTATTGCCCTAGTCCATAAGGTTATCTTCCTAATGTGGCAGACGTGGAAAACGAGAAACGAGTTCATTTTCAGGGGTAGATCCCTTGGCCCCCCTCCACCAGTTCTAGGGTTGTGCTTGAGTCACAACAATGGGACGCGTGCCCTGCCAGAACACCATATTCTTCCCCTCCCATTCAGTTAGCCCCACCCCCGGATCATCCTACTCCACCGCCAAGTATTCATGAGTTTGAAATACACTGTGATGGTTCTTTCTTTGAAGCATCTCAGGAGGCGGCTTATGGCGTCGTTGTCACGAATGCCCATGGACAAGTATGTGACGGGGTAGCTGAACCCTGCATTGTTTTTCACCTATTGAAGCAGAAGCAAAAGCATTGTTGGAAGGAACGCTCCTGGCCGCCAACCTTCACGGCCCTTGCTTGGTCCGATCGGACTGTCTCACTCTCATAAGTGCTGTGCAAGGGAACCAGAATCCTTGGCCATGGCGAGCAATAGCGTGAATTGGAAGCATCAAAAAGGCGCTCGATGATCACCCATGGATCAAGATCTCCCACGTCAAAAGGGCGGACAACGTGGAAGCAAATTGGGTGGCCAGATCACGAGCAAAAAATGTACTGCCCATTCAATGGGTTCAGGTCCTTGATGTTATTCCTCCTTTTGTAATCAACTAGTTTCAGCCGCAAGTAATGGAAAAGCACTGCCTTTTGTCAAAAAAAAAAAATCCACAAAGCCTAGGAGTGGCGGATGAAATAGATCCGGCGACCAGAGTCTCACTGGGATTTTCGAAGGTGGGGCAAGCGGAAGAGTAATCGAAGCAGGGATAGAAATGGAGGGAGTGCTGCCAAACTAACTTGTCTCGGAGATAGACCAACCGCCGCTGGTATAGTCTTGCATAGAGGTGGTCGCCACCCTCCAGCGCCAGTGGTCACCACCCTTCTCTCCAACTCTTCCTCTTCCCTGTTGCGAGTCTCCTTCCCTTCTTCTACCCCCGCCTCCATCCTCTCCCACCCTTCCGCCCTCCTCTAAACCTAACCCCACACCGCCGTCGGGCCTCCTTCACTGCCGACCAAGCCTCCCGCCTCCTCCGCACCCCGGGAATCCTCTACGTCGTCCCCGACCAGATCCGCCACCTCCACACCACTCACACCCCTTCCAACCTCGGCATCTCCCTCTTTCCCCCTCAACTCCGCCAACGACAACGATGTCATCATCGGTGTCCTCGACACCGGGATCTGGCCCCTCGACCCCAGCTTCGACAACTATGCATTCGTCGTCGTCGAGCGCATGGATCGCCGCCTACAAGATCTGCTGGTTGCCCGGATGCTTCGATCTCTTCATTGATCTCGACGCTGCCTTATTTTTCGACGATCCGATCGCTATCATGGTGGGGAAATTGAAATTCCCTTCACTGTGCTTTTTCCAGCTTAGAGAACCTCTCACCATTCGTCCATTGTGCGGAGAAGAAGAACGAATACCTCACCCATTCAAGGCAAAAGATGGGATCAGAGAAAATCGATCGGAGGAAGAGGGAATTAGTTCACAAGATGGATATTTTTTTTGGCGTGAATGGGGGATTCTCGATTAATTGTATAGAGATAAGGGGGAGAAGATGGATTGGAGAAAATGAGGGAGAGGGGGAGACTTTTAATTTTAATTTTTATACTTTACAATTAAATCCACGTGGCATTGTTATTTACGAAATTTTTGCCACGTCAGCTTTTCCGTTAGTCCAATCAGCATGTCAACTAACACCGTCAAACAATTGGACGAAAGTGGCTATTTTTAATATTTCGCGAAACGTGACTATATTTGGCCAAACCGTCAAAATTTTGGCTATACAGATGTATTTTGTCTCGTAAGGTTTTCTCATAGGAAAACAAGAATTTATAAAATCAAGAAAGCTGTGACGGTGGAGGTCACCTCTTACCCTTCATGCGTTACCAACTAATGATAACGGCAGAGCAATATTAAAGTCATCATCAGAAACCAGCGGTAATAAGCTAACCCAGTGGCTTCCGCGACATACGTTATCAAGGATAGCAATACTACATGATCAGTGCATCCATTCCATATCCATAAGCGATGCAATACAAAAATTTGCCTTATGGCACCATAGAGCCCCAAAACCAACGAGCAGCATACAGGTGACAAAACTTAACCAAAGAAGGACAAGCACACAAGGTCAGAGCTCCAAAAAACCTTCCATATGGAAGGGTCATGGAGTAACTACAGTAGAGAATGTACAAACTAACGCCAGATAACTTCCATTTGAAATTAACTTCAATCAACTCAACCGTTAAAGGAGTGTGACACAGATGCCATGGAAGGTGGACGCAAAACCATCAAAATGACAGGAATTCGTCGCTCCCTAGGGGACTCAGATCCTTCCTGCCATTCTCATCCTGAACAGACCCCATCTTCTCGTCCAATATTGCCAATTGAGACTTCACCCATGATGGATTATACCTCCCTTCGACCCACAATGATTCCCCTGTATCTTTGTGCTTGAAATCTGGATACTTCGGGTTTCTCTGTATCCCAAAACACATATCGCAAATTACTACATACTGTAACAGATGTGTGAGAGCGTTCAAGTACATACGAGACAGTACAATTCAACTGACATGCTAAGAGCAGGGTGTATCATCTCATCCATACTGTTAAATTTTCATGTCACAAGGCAGACAATGAGAAGATAATCAAAATGAGCATAAGAAAGTACCTTGTTCTTCCTATTATCCCACCACTCGTAAGGGCTAGCGAAAAATGCTTGCCACTGCTCTTCTATGGAACCCATGTTTGAAGTATTGTTGTTGTTGCTGTTGTTGAACTTTCTACCTGCTGGCATGGCATAGACGGTCGTCTAGATGAAGGAACAAGCTCGAAACTGGTAACTCACATGTAGTACCAACTAAATGAACGAAAAAAACATCGTACCTGAAGCGTTCATGTTAAACTCTTCATCGTATGACGGTGATGATGGTGATGATGAAGAAGATCCATTTCTTTCGATGAAATTAAACTGCTGGACAACTACCTGCGAGGATTACGGGGGAAAAAATGAACAGACTTAACAAATCATTGTATCGTGGTATTGATTGACATTTCGACATCACGAAACCTTGTAGTATGTCTGGACCTTCCCGTCCTCATTCTCAACGGTGTCTGAAATCAATCGACCAGACACATAAATCTGATTCCCTTTCTGCACATGCTGAAACGCAGTTTGCGCCAATTCGTCCCAGAATGTAAGATTTATCCTGGGGAAACCACCAATTTGGGAGATGCACTATCACTACAGAGTTATTGCCATTTCTAATTCAACACCCTAAACTCCCCGATTATTAATGGCGTAGAAAGTGTAAGCAGAGATTTACCAGCAGGTATCGGCGGCAGACTTCTTGAACCCGAGCCTCGTCCACGCAACGACCTTCCCGGAAGCTAGGTTCTTGATTTCGACGGGAGCGCCCACTACGCCGATGAGCTGCACCCCGTTGGCGAGCTCCTTATTCCACGGAATCTCGGCCGGACGTTCGTACCCAACAACCGCCTGATTGTACTGGTCGTAGCCTCTGTAATCAGCTGAACACTTAAACCTACGGTTGAATCCAAAGGTTTGTAGCCCGGCCGCCGAGCAGTAAACAGCGACGAACCAGTCGAGTTCCCGCTGGCCAGAGGGTTAACTGGGATGCAGAAAGATACTTTACTCGAGAACGACACCGCCGCCAGCCTCTCCAACGCCATTGCTAAGCTCCCGTTCACTTCTTCTTGTTCAAAGACAATGAAGCGCAGCCTGGAAGCTCGGAGGAGAGGATTTTAGATTTTCAGAGCGCCGCTTGCGGAAATGAAATGGGCCCTTTGCGCCATTCTCAGCTCAGAGATACACGCTTGATAGATTGGGCCGGGCCTTAAACTTAATTACTAGGCCGTTAAGATTTTCGAATGGGCCTGAAGAGGTCCATTGCTTTTTATCTGCCATGTGCATACAGCGCACCCGGTGGATGTTAGGAAGAGGCCGAACTCCTAGCGGCATATTTGGTTTTGGCCTTTTGGCATTCATTCTGTCTCCGTCCGCCCAACTCAACTCAGCGTCCCCGAAACTCAGTTTTATAGCTCCGTCGCCGTCCATCCCCACACGTCCGTCGTCTGTCGTCACCATTTGGGGAAAATGCTAGGTCGTCTGGCAGCCACGCGCCTCCTGGAGATCCGTCAAGCTTTCCGGGGAGCTGCTCAGGTCACCTTCTTCCACTCCTTTTATTTCTTTCTTCAGTCGCCCGATCGAAGACTGCCGCCGAATCTCATTTCACTTATCTTAATTTGATTCTATCGTTCGCCGCAGGCTTCCCGGTCGTTCTCAACTGCTCTCAACTATGTGAGTCATTTGGCATCTGCGAATTCCTTGATCTTTTTCCCTGTCGGTTTCCGTTTTTTTCGATGTTTTTTTTTTTTTTTGGTTTTTGTGTGTGTGAGAAATGGTTTATCTCTTTGCAGCACATCGATTCACCGGATAACAATCCGGACATGCCATGGGAGTTCAATTCCAAAAACCAAGAGAAGGTAATGACTGAAAGTTATGGCAATCTACAGAGCATTTCTCTGGGTTCTGTGGATTAGGCTGATCGAATGGAGAATTGAATAGCGTTAAATTCCAGTGGCACGCTTCTGTCCTTCATTTCTCGCATGTTCAACTAGAAATTAGTAATTTTATACTAATTTGAACACAGCAGAGTGCACCTTTCTCAACGTTTTGAAACTATATGCGAATGTAGCTCCCAATGGTTTTGGTTGGTGTGCTATTGGACGAACTTCTGAGCCATATCTAGTGAAGGGCTGAATCATGGGAAAAATAGAATGGTTTCTTTACCTTCTTCAATGTTGGATTTTGTTCATATCATAGAGGAAAACATGACCATATGATTTTGCCTTTTGGGTCGGGATTGCGCAGATTGCTAGAAAATCCAGTATCATCTTTGCTCCCTCTCATGCTTTGACGATACAATCTCATTATCATGCTATCTTTCTTATATAAGTTGCTGCTTTTACGGGATTAGCAAAGCTTCTTGTTTCATGTGAATGGATTACCAAGTGACTCAATTCCTCTAAGACTTATCGTCTTTGACAAATTGTGAATCAATGCAGGATCCTTGTTGCATTTTTTTTCATAATCTTTGTAGGGCCTTTTTTTGCTTTGAGTCGTTTATGCCTCTGTGTATTGGTTGAGAAAAAAAATTGACTTGCTTGTTGGAGTGCTTTTGTGCAATAAAAGATTCTTATTCACTTTTTGGTGTGATTGAGGATATATTGTCGATGAAATATATGCTTGCAAGAATGACTCCAGATCAGTTTTCAACTATCTAATGGCGTTTATCTTAAATTTACTCTAGACTGCATGGCTTTGAAGTAAAAGTGTGATATGGTCCAACAAATATTGTTTCCTTAGCAAGCCTGTCTAACTAGGCTATTGTTTCTGTGAGCGTCTAGTATGTGGAAGGACTAATGTAACCACAACTAAAACCGATTTAAATCCTCTAAGGAGTTCTTTTACCTTGCTTTTAAAATGGTCTCCTACCTTAAAATGAGTGCAGTAATATCCAACTTGTTGGTAGAACTAATTTCCTTATTTACGCACTGATGTCTGATCTTCGTTTTAATGTTTGGTACTCTGCTGTCAGGTTAAAGAGATAATCTCACTACCCATCTAACTACAAGCAATCTGCAGTAATTCCCCTGCTAGATCTGGCGCAACAGCAGCATGGAGGATGGCTTCCAGTTTCGGCAATGAATGCGGTAAGGGTGAATGCATAAATATGTTGGAATTGATTTCAGGGATTAGGTGCCATATGGAAGTGAAATTTATTTGCATGAGAACAGCTATGAAGTACATTAGCTTTCTATTGCTTTTGACAAAAATATAAGCTCCTCATTAATATAATTATAGTTGCAGAATACTCTCTAAACGGTTGTGCTGATTGAAAGGTCAAATTGTTTTGTTGACCTTATACCATAAAAAAAGGGACGAATTGACTATGTGCATGTATCAGGGTACTGCAGTTTGGGGTTTGGCTAGTGATTATCATGTGAATGTCCCGGTAGAGAGTTTGTAAGAAAATTATATATTCTCCAAACCAAAGTCTTGGAGCACACCTTTTCCCTTGGCCAACTTCTGCTGAACTGACTAGGATTTAATATTTGAGCCACTAGTCGCCTCCCTTTTCCTTGGAAACAATCATCAACCATGACTTCCTCAGAAGGTTTTTCCTCTATACTTGTGCATACTCATTGTCCTTGCTACAATTGCAAAAGGATAAGAAAGAAGATCAGTTGGAATCATGGATTTCAAGTTTCAATTGCCCATCAACTGCAACATGTATAAAACTTCGATTTCTAAGATGTCGTATGAACTTTCAGTGGAATCACTCCGTTATGGAAAAAAGATGCTAATGCTTGCATGTAGCGTGTGGGGCTGACTAGGTTGGATGTTTTGTGTTCCAGTGGAGCAGGCCAATTTTGTGGTGCCTTTTTCCAGCTGTATATGCTTGACCATTTCAAGTTACTTGATCTGTCTTAGCTGTTTTAAATTCCGAAGACTTTAATCTTGTTCAAACTGTATGATTTTTTGAGAGAAACTCTCTCAGTATAAGCTTTCTTGTGGACACTTCAGGTAGCTAAAGTTATCGGTGTTGCTCCCATTCGCGTCTATGAAGTTGCAACATTTTATTCCATGTTCAACCGAACACCTGTAAGTAATATTCTCCAATCTTTCCCTCACGACCCCACCCAGTGAGTTTTTATTCTGCGGTCTTCAGTTAGTGCGATGCAATATTAGTAGTAATGAATAACTCTCGTCTTCTATAGGTTGGCAAGTACCACCTTTTAGTTTGTGGAACAACCCCATGCATGATACGTGGGTCTCGAGATATTGAAGATGCGCTACTGAAACACTTAGGAGTGAAACGCAATGGTATGTTCCAATTTTATAAGTTTCTGCTCGTCCGTGTGAAGTTGACATGTGTAGAGATCAGTTACCCTTGCACCTTTCCAGTGATTACATCTACTTTTTTCTTCTTCAAATTGTGGTATAGTTTAATTTAGTGAATAAGTGTGCTGTGCATTTTCTTCATGTGCAGAAGTAACAAAAGATGGTCTCTTCTCTGTTGGTGAAATGGAATGTATGGTAAGTCTTCATTCGTATAGTGGATCGAAGTTAAATCTTGCTCTCTTTGACTCTCTCTGAAAATGTCTTGTGTGTGCTTCTCCATTATTAGGAAGAGGATAGCTCTTACTTTTGCTGTTTGTTTGAATACTGTGATTGAGCACGGCATGGTCTTTATACAAAGATTCATTGTCTGTGCAGGGAAGCTGTGTAAATGCACCAATGATTACCGTTGCAGATTACTCTAATGGATCAGAAGGATACTCGTATAATTATTATGTGAGTGCATGAAACATCTTTCTCTTGCTTAGGACATTACAGCAAAAAAAGTTGGCTAGTCTTGACTTGTTTTGGATGGTTTAATTGCTTCAATTGCAGGAAGATGTCACTCCAAAACGAGTTGTGGAGATTGTTGAGTTGCTGAGAAAGGGGGAAAATTGCCAGTAAGGCCTTATAGTCTTTCTGCTGTTTGATTGCTTTCATCGACTATGATATTACTCTGAATTTAACTACCAAATTCCTCTTCATTGTTAGCCTGGAACGCAAAACCCAAAACGTATCATGAGTGGACCAGAAGGAGGCAATACTACTCTGCTCACAGACCCTAAACCTCCTCCATGCCGGGATCTTGATGCTTGCTAAGTTCTGGTACATGTCAGCTTCCAATAATGCAAAAGCGTTTAAGGTCACCGAGTATCATCGGTCTGCTGCTCTTTGTTCTGCCTTTGAGGCTAACCAAATTTTTTTGTACTTTTATGTCTGCCACTGAGTACTTGGCAAAGATATATGAACTCGTGGCACAATTTCGTAGTGGTGTTAACGGCTTACCAGAACAGTGTGTCATGGTTGGTTTCCATAAATCCTTGGTTCACCTGAAATGGGATGTTATGCTTTTATGGTACTGGTTGTGGCGGCCAGCTGCGTCCAGAGTGTTAGTTTTAAGCCATCAATAAAAATGTCGATTGATGATTATTCATTCCTCAAAGCAGAGGTTTGCCACTCCTTTCCATGCTCTCGTATTATGGTATGAAGTTCCTTCTTGCAGACAGTGAAGTAGGGTTGACAGTCCTTTTTTCATTTATGAAAAACTAGTACAGGAATCTGATAAAAGTTGAGAAACTAGAAAAATAGGTGGTCTAGATGGCCAAAATTCAGTCTCGTCCATCTTCTAAGGTTATGGACCATGATGTGGGCCGTTTGATTGTTGGTTCGGCCCGAGAACTTAAGGGAAATGGAGCCCACTTCCCTTGTCTGCTTTGCAAGTTCGTTGCATGCTCTGTTATTACCCTTTCTTCCTTCTCCGCCTGCTGAACAATCTGCATGCAGTGTCTCCACTCTCCACCAAATTCGTCGATCCTCTAGGTAGATGTATACTCAAGATTTGATGCCTATCCTGGGTTGGAAATAGGCTTGTAGGATAGATGTCTTCTAAGTCCTTGTATCTTCATCAAGCAGCTCGCTTACTAAAGTCGTCTGAGCAAACTGAGGAACGGGAGAGATAACCCTGTGTTTTGAGGAGGTTGGCACCCATTTATCGATCCAAATATCCACCATATTCCAATCGCCTATTATCCATCTTAGGCCCTCCTGTAAAATACATTTGGCTGCTAGAACACTTCGCCAAACATAGCTTGGGTTGTAACCTAACTTAGCTTCAAGCAAGTCTCTGTTAGGGTAGTATTTCGCTTTGAACATTCTTGCCACCAGAGTGTTAGGATTTTTGAATTATGTTCCAGAATTTCTTGCCAAAAAGAGCAAGGTTGAATTCATACAAGTTTCTAAATCTCGGGCTCCCTTTCTTCTTCAAGTGGCATAGCTCTTTCCAACTAATCCAATGTGTTATGTACTCCTGTTTCTGCTGCCCCACCTAAAACTGGATAACAGACTGGATTTCATTGATTACTATTTGTGGCATTAGGAATATTTGCATAACGTATGTCATTTGTGCTTGAATTACTGCCTTTATCATCACTTCCTTTATCCCATACGACAAATAGTTAAACTCTTCCATAGTTTCACCTTTTTCGGACTCTGTCAACTAGGTAACATAAGATAGATTTCTTTTGCCTTCCCACAATCGTAGGCAGACCAAGGTTTTAGGGCTAAAGGAGATTTCCAATTTGATCAAATTCACCTTCTGCCACAATTCTTCCCATAGAAATTTAGGATATTACATCGTTGTTCACATTCTTGCTTAGTGGCTTTTGCAAAAAAACACACTATCATCTATAAAAATAAGGTGAGTTATGAGAGGGGCACCTCTTTAATTTGGATACCTTCAATTTTATTCTCCCTTTCAGCCTGTGATAGCAAAGCTGACAACCCTTCTGCTACAAAAAGCAATAGGTAGGGTGATATGGGATCACCTTGCCTAAGTCCTGAGAGGGAGAAAAAAAGGTTTCTATTCGGTGCCCATTGACTAGCTGGCATGAATCCCTATCATAAGCTTCCAGAAATCCCCACTAAACCCTGCCATAAGCTTTAAAGATATCAAGTTCAGATGACATAAATCCCTTCCTGCCTTGGTTTCTACATTTAATTGAGTTGAAACACACGAATGCTATCCTCACATTGTCTGTAATCAGTCGACCCCGTACGAATGCACTTTGAAATTCAATGATAACCTTATTCAAAATCCCTTTCAATCGGTTGGCCAAAACTTTAGATAGGTTTTTGTATAATACCTTACAAAGGCTGATGGGGGGGATCTATAGGGGATGCAACCTCCTTCTTTGGTATTAGAGCCAGTAGCATGTGATTGATATCATGTGGGAAAGAGCTTGAATTGAGATAGTTTAAAGCTCTTTAGACACATCAGGTCCAACAATCTCTCAGCAGGCATCCCATATGCTCCTGGAACTTTATGAGGTCTCATTTCTTTAGGGCATTCAGATCTCCTCCTGTGTGAATGGTTTGAGCATCTCCTCATCCATGTCTTGTGTCACTCATCGTAGGGTGGCATCAATGATTTTATTAGAAGATACTGAGTTAACTGCAAAAAAAGAAGCTTATAATAGTTAGTTAAACACTCTGAGACCTGCTGCTGGCCTTCCCTGCTTCTCCCATTTTCATCAATCATTTCCTGATAGTGTTTCTGTTTCTTCTATCAAATGCTTAACGGTCAAAAAAATTGGTGTTCTTATCACCATCTTTTAGCTAATCCACTCGAGATCTTTACTTTCATCTCAATTTTTCCTGCATTAGGATTTCATTAAGTTCTTTTTCAATACCTTTGATTAGGAGGACTACTGTTGTATTTGTTCCCTTCTTCTCTAGTTTTTTCAATACTCTCTCAGCTTTGAGTTTCCCTAAATGTCGGCGTACTCCAGTTACTCAAGTTCCCTTCGCAATATGACAATTTTTCTAAGACAGAGGCATCTCTGTTTGAATTCCACCTTTCTGCAATAACCTGCCTGCACTCCTCATGTTGATGACAATATGGCTCAAATAAAAAATGACAACCCCACCTTACTTCCTCTTCAACTAACTTTGTTTTAACAAAATTGGGGAATGATCAGATCCACAACTTTTGGGATGATGGACCCTGGCATGCAGGTAGTAGCTTTGACATTCTAGTGTTGCCACCATTTTATCAAATCTTTCTTCCAGAAAAGTATAATTTGTGTGGTTATCGTCCCAGGTAAAGGGCTTGCTATAGTATCTGAGATCTTCAAAGTTACAGTACTCCAAGGCGTCGTGGAAGCTTTCCATCTCCTTTATGAGTGGCATGTTAAGTCTATTCTTCTCCTCGCAGCCTTGAATCAGGTTGAAGTGACCACTCATCAGCCATGGTATATCAGTCATGTCTTTGAGTTGTCGCATCAAAATGCAAGTTTTTCCTTATTTCCTTGTTTTGGTCATCCATATATGCATGTATATCTCCACTGATATCCTCTATCTTCTATGCATGCATTAATATGATTCATGTATTTAGACTTTACTGTTACCTTCAAGTCTTTCCTCCACAACATCAATAGTCCTTCCTTTCTCCCATCCCATCCCATCCCACTCATTTTCCTTTTTCCCAACCTAACCCCTGCATCACCTCTTCCCATTCGTGCTCTATCTTCTTAGTCTCCAACAGAAGATTATTTTGGGATTTTCTCATTGGAACAGTTGCCTCACCTTCCTGATTGCAAAGGGATTCCCCAACCCCCGACAATTATAGCTTAAAATCCTCATTGGGCTGAGCAGTCCTGTGTATCTGCAAGGTCTACCTCTTCGCCAACCATTTTCTCAAATCTTTGTTTCTTATTTACTAAGGAAACGTTTCCTTTATGTCCTCCTTCCTTTGCATCAATTTCCATGTCACTTGCTTCTCGTTTTGCTATACTAGTTAGAGCTTTGGAAATATCCAGACCTCTCTCCTTTTGTTGTTGTTTTCTAGTTTAGACATTGGATTTTTTATTTGGCTTCTCCACTCCCCATATTCCCAAACTAAACTTTATAAGGTACCATCTTCAGAAAAAGTATTTTTGGTGCTCGAGGTTGATATGTTGTTTTCTGCCTTCATAGCCAGTTGTAGGGTATCTCTATTAGGGATTTTTCCTATTTTTATTGCTTGTCTGTCATTCCATATTTTATCAGCAGATTCTTCTCGTTTATAGGCCTCTTTAAACCTTATCTTGCCTTGATTATGTTCCTTTGACATTCTGATTAGTTTCTCCGTGTCTGTTAAGTTTCCTTCAGGCATAACAAAAGGAGCTATTTGCTTAGTAATTGCAGCTGAGATCATCTTGTTATTGCCTGAAGTGTCCCCAATTTCTTTGCATAATGTTTTTCACAGTTGGATTCTTTGTCTCTTTCTTCCTGTTCATTCGAGGACCCTGTGGTAGTGGCTAGCTTTGATCCAATGACCATATTTGTCTTCTTTTGATGGGTTTAGATGTCAAAAAAAAAACATAAGTTTAGCATTCTTTCATATTTAGCTTCAAAGTCTATTGCATTTCCTTCGATCTGTAACATCACTCTTTTGCTTCAAGCTCCAAGTCTTTGTTAGCAAAAATCTTCATTGATTTGATTATATAGTTTCGTAGGGATACAAGTCTTCCTACTAACCCTAGCTTCTGTACAGCTTCATCGATCCTGGCCGTCTTATCAGCCTCTTCTGTTATTATTGGCTTCTCATCATTATTTGCAATTGTGAACTATTTTAAATGTAGTTCGATTTCTTTCTCTATAGGTACAAGTGTTCTCAACAGCCATATTGCTTGGCGCTCACGATACCCACACCCTCAAGAATAGGTAGAAAAGGGCATTCCCTTTTGAATCTAAGTGCATGAGGCAATTTAGCGATGCTCGAGACCCAAAGAAGAACGATTTCATTCTTTAGAAACTCTCTTTGATCTCTCAAAGACGTAGAATCGCTATGATCGGGATTAGGTCTTTTAATGAAAACCTAGTTGCCACTCTTACTCTCGAAAGACTCTCGATAGATATGATAGAAAATCCGTAAGTAGGATTGACAATTTCCTTGCTTGTCTCTCGTCGTCCATACTAAGAACATGAATAGATTCCTTATCGCAAAATGTCATATTATCCTAAAATAGAAACTCCTTCATCGACTTCTCATCTCTTGTAATCTAGTATTTCCCACACCAACAAGTTTGATAGAATTTACAATGTCTTTATCTTTCCTTTGCAATGCTAGTGACAACTCATTTGTAATTGCTAACACTTTAATCATCAACTTCAACATAAAGAAAACATAAAATCTTGAAGTGTAGTGAACATCCACCATACATCACTGGCAGATTTTGAATATGTAGTTGGATTATTATTATTCCCTCCAACAGATCAATAATATAGATAACAGGTTCTCAAATTGAGAAGTGTCCCATAGTAAGTACCCCAACAAGTATCTCTTGTCCTATTGTGACTCATTTCCTTATTCAATACATGTCCAACCTCTCGTTCATTAGCATATAGCCTCTACAATCTTCCTAGTTTGGCTATATCCCGAACCATTTCAGTGTTTGCAAGATCCCAAAATAAAATTAGTCACATTATTGAATGTTGTAAAACTTTGCCAATGTCTATGTGATTCC